CCATCCCTGGAGGTATTTAAAAGACGTGTAGACGTGGTGCTTAGGGACATGGTTTAGTGGTGGACTTGGCAGTGTTAGGTTAACGGTTGGACTCAATGATCTTAAAGGTCTTTTCCAACCTAAACAATTCTATGATAAGCACTTGCCCTTTTTATGTTGTCATAAGCCTTCAGCTTCATTTTATAATGCATGTAAAGTTCACCCTGGATTATAAGTATTGAGGCTACATAGTGATGTTAGATGCAGAAGAACATGTCTAAAGGACAGCAATGTTCGTATTTCAAGAGTCAGTCAACATCTAGCTAAAAAAGGCGAGTGGACTAAAAACCTCCCTGTGTGGATTATTTTCCAAGTCTATTATGAATAAAATACCTTAAAGTTTCCTATACTTCATCTGGTTCTGGCTCTGTCAGCAAAAATGTATGACTAAAACAGTAACACGGTTTGCGATGCTCTCTTGCTTATCCTGTTCCTTACATTTCACAGATGTGCACACTGGCATTTACATGGGTACACAAGAAATTCAGAGGGGAGGAAAAACTATTATTTTCAAAACTACCTTTCCATTGGTGACCCTCAAGAAGCTAACAAGAACTTCCAACTGCCTCTGTCATACTGTCACACCCCCTGCACGTCCCCAAGTTCATGATATTCTTGAATTGGTGTCACAGACCACCTTCCAAACCCATACCCTTCAGACCCTGCAAACCACGTTTCGTCTCATTCCCCCTCCGTTTTTTGTTACCTTTCAGCTTGGCCACCAAGTGCCTGAACTCCTCGATGGTGTAAGCTTCATCTACTCCTGTGAGAGCAATTGCCCCATCCGTGCCTGATCTGGGCCCGTCCCACAGCTCTCGGCTTGGATCTCTCCGGGGCACAAAAAGTATGGATTTGTGGGAGGGCAGCGCTTTGCCAGGAATGCTCTGCAAAACCAGGATGCTGTCAGGCTCCTGGAACCCACAGAGGTACAGGAAGTTAGTGTCCTGGTGGAAAATGTAGGGGATGTCATTGCTCATGTAGTATGTGGGGTTGGATAGCAGAATCACTGTGTGGTCCAATCCATCCCAGCCATGGGCTTCTTTCTGGATCAATGTCATCAGTTTGTGTCGGCGAAGAGCATATTCCACCTGTGACAATCCTGGGGTTACCTCTCCTACGAATACAAAACAAATCAGATTGAGAAATTCAAGTTACTCATGATATTTTACTAGTTGCATGACTGATTCCTGCCTACTCCCTGATGCCCTTCATATGCATGGCTTCGCTGTGGTCCCTCATTAGCCTTTCCATTGCTCTCTCATGCACCTCTTCAGCTTCCAGCCCTACAGAACATCCTCACTGAATCTGCTCCTCCATCATGCAAAGACAGAAATTTATTTTAACAAATTGGATCTTCTGGTATGTATTTCTGTGCAAAAGCAGGAATCACAAAACCTGGTAGATTTAGACAAACACCCTAAACAGATGGAGGTTTTCAGAAAGACGTGTAAAAAAAGGGGAAGGGGCAAGGCAAACTGGACTTTGACTGCTGAAAACTGATGGGTTTTATAGCGTCTGGACATTGAACAGAAGATTACCTCCTGAGGTTGAGCATTAATTTCCTCAGATAAAGCTAGAATGTCTATTCAAATACACACTAAGTCAACTCATAAAGTAACTAGTTCTATACCATAACGGGCAGATTAAGTGTTACAGATACTGCGAGATCAGGCAGAAACACAGAGGTTGCAGAGTCTAACCAGTCACAAGATTCCAGGCAGAAAGAAACCACGAACTGCAGGCTGGCGGCAGACTCTGCTTACGAGAAGGAATCTTCTCCAGGGCTGATGTAGCTTTTCTCAATAATTAACAATTATTTTTCCAAAGTTATATACCGTATTCCTAATGACTCTAACTAAACAAATGATCTCTTAGATGAAAGTACGTTCTAAACTACTCCAGTCGTGAAGGATACGAAATAGAGTGATCAAGATACTCACCAAAACCAGACTGAAGTTGAAAGAACAACCAACAACAGCTTAAGTATGTATTTTTAAAAATGTGAGACTTCTTAACTATGATTTCAATTAATATCTGAGCCTTAATCAATACTTTGGCTGATACCCTATTTTAACATAGATTGCATTTTCATACTGTTAATTTTCTACTTTCATAATCTTTTCTTCCTCTTTAATGTATTACACAGTGACAATTCTAGAATAAAAATTGAAATTTGACTTGTACTGTAAGTGGATTCTTGCATGGGTAGGGTGGGAGGGGGAAGTTCTATCCAGAATGTTTTTCCTTGACAAAAGAGAGTTTAAGAAAATCACATATGTTGTATTTGCATTCAGCTTTACATCTTTTCAACACCATGCGTCCCCAACACATATTTGGTGTAAAAGTCTTTTTTAAAGAAAAAAACAAAACCACCAAATTTGTTTTACTCTGTAGATCAAGAAATGACAGAGAACACAGAAACTGTGTTCCAACCCCACATTTCTGCAATATTATACTGCAAATTTCCTATGCTCCACTGCATTCCAGTCAGCTTTCTAACTATCACAAACAGTCCAGTGAAGTTTAGAAGCTGCAGTAGAGTGGAACATGGGAATCCATGCATTCTGACTGCAAGGCCTGGAAATTCTCTTTGCCTTAAAGGCATTTGCTTTTTAAAACAATAATTGCAATAAACCAATGTTGTATTATTTTAAAGAAAACACCACTCCTTTATTAAATGGAAAATTACTATGAGCAGCTAGAATTAATCTCCATTGTTTCAGCTGTGAGTACTTTTAAAGTGTCAGCCTCATTTACTGAGTTAATCAGTGCCCTAAGCAACCTGATCTAATACTGAAGTTAGCTCAGCTTTGAGCAAAGGGTGGACCTAGTAACTTCCTAAGGTCCCTTCTGACCTGAATGATTCTACATTCTAAATATGTAAGTGCATGGTTACATATTCATCTGTTCTCTCTGTATACCTACATGCTCATTTTCATTAATCTCATACTGCACAACCTCAGCTTCTCTTTCATCACTACCTTCTAACTTTATGGCCACAAGTCTCTTTTTCTTTTTTTCCTCACAGCTTCAATACTCTTCTGAAGGGGCCACGCTTTTTAGACTATTGGTGTCCATCTCTCAATAAGTCTGTCCCTGATCTCCTTTTCTGAATGACACCTTGATTTTGTGACCCACAATACATTAGATATGAAGCATTCTAGCAGTTCAGCTTGCACAAAGGACTCCCCCTTAAGATAAATTGTATTGTATTTGCAGGACAATGAGCTCCCAAGGTGCCACTGCCATGAAAGGTCTGCAGTGCTGAAGCCAGTGACACCGAGCACCCCATGAGAAAAAGGTAAAAAGCTAACATGTGAAGCCTATTTTTGGAATCAGTATCATCTCCGACAAGGAAATGAACTACTACATATAATTACTGCCTAATGAAGGTAATCATAAACAGCTGAAATCACAGACACCTGTATAATGCAGCAAATCAATACTCTGTCCTACACATCTCAGCAAAATAGAGAAAAGAAAGAATACCAATGATCGGCCCATACAGGGCCTGAACCTAACCTGGTTTGAGAAGGTGTGGGTGTGTGAAGGGGCTGGGCTGGCCCAAATACCGGTTTGGAATCTTCTTCTGCTGGGCAGGCTGGATGGAAAATCTTCGGAGAGCACATGACTTGCAAACTAGAGGAAAAACAAATGCACCACATCAAGGTAAAAGACCTTTCCAGTTAGAAAACTGCAGAATTATACTCCAGTCATCTGACTCTTAGTAGCATTCATTCACCTTATATGACATAAATATCCCTCCTTAACTTTTCAATGTGTTGTGTACCATAAGAGTTTATGAAGTTGAGTTGTGTGCACACAACTCAACTAACGATCAAATATTCATAAAACAGATTGAAAGAAATTAACGTACAATAAACCTGATAATCCAGCAAGAAAACCCAGAAAGCTATGTCGGTTTGCACATCCCAATTTCCACACTTGGTGTTCATGATGCACTCAGCACTCTCCTTCCCTTGCTTCCCTCAAACACTGTAGGGCTTGAAGCACAACACCTGTACATCATCTTTTCTTGACTACATCTTCAAAAAATACCACTCATCTGGAACAATTATCCAGTTTTCAAGGCCTTTCCAGTTCTTTTTTTACTAATAATGCCACAAAAAAAAACATTAAATAACACAGGTTTATACAGCAATGCAATTTTTTTTCTGTATGAAAGATACTTGAGTCCCCATTTATGTATTTGTCTTACTTGACAGTAGCATTAGCCGAATTGAAAACAGTTCCTCAGAAGCATACAGTTACATATCCCACTTCCAAATCCACACACAGCCAAAGCAGACAAGTTTTAAAGAGAGTTACAAGTGTGCATTTGGGAGCTGGGGGTGTGCATAATAAGTCAAAAGCTAAAATTAAATATCATTGTCGCAAACTTTAACAACTTTGGAATTCTCAGTCACCCCTGTTGCAGCTGAATAATTGCTTGTGCCTAGATACAAACCATCAGACACATGGAAGGAGATGGTAATCAGTTTCCTAACATCTACCAGCTGATGTTTTGGAAACTGGTTCTCTTTCATGTCACTTACCATGTGCCTACTACAAAATCAATTCATGCTGCCATGGCATGGCACTGCATTCTTAGAACAAATGATAATCAGCTCTTCACTAGGAAGTATAACACAAGCAGAACAGCTGCCTGCCTTTCAGGGAGGTGAGACCTATAGGACAACACACAGACTGTGGATTTTCTGTATGGGAGCCAGTATGATTAGCCACTAATTGAAGATTACTTATGCATGACAACTGATAGTCATAACTTAAAGCATTCACTATGTGATGATTGACTGGAGCAACAGTCTGGAGACCCAGGCAGTGAAATATAATTACAGCTTTTTGTGCAGTTTAAAAAGAGAGGGTTTTTACTGTTTCTCTCCACCTACACAGAAGACAAGCAGGATACCTTACAACACGACAAGAGAACACAACAGGCATTAAATAAAGCAGTATTTTGGAGACAGCAAGGAGCTTTCCACATCGTTGCTTTATTTTTCAGATAATAAGCAGTTCTTCCCTCGGATTCAGCCGTGACCGGGGCTACCACTCCGTTGCCGGAGAGGGCCGCTCTCCCATGCCCCTCGCACCCACAGCGAAACGGAGGCGAGGGCGGCCTCGCAGCCCGCCCGGCCCCAAGGGCCGCCGCACTGCCGGGGGAAGGAAGTGCTCTAAGCGGCGATATCGCTTAGCGTGCCCCGGGCAGTCAGTTACCGCAGCTCCGAGGTCGGAGGACAGGGCCCAGCGGCACCGAGCCGGGCTGCACCGGTGAGGTGCAGTAAGGCGTGTGGGGGGAGGAGGAGTCTCTG